ATTGTTAAGAAACCTATAGACCCAAGCATACACTCTGCAGAGTCTCTTCCAGCTAGAATATCTATTTGGTTCTAACCTATCAGTGTTTGAGTCAGATTTAGTAAACATGACTACGTTTACTTGAGAAGCCTTTTTAGTTCTGGATTCTCACAGTTGTCATAGGCAACTGTCTGTTTCAGCCACTCATCTTCATCACGAGTCAGAAATGTAGGACCATGCAGCCATTTGTCAGTGGAAAGGGTTTCAACATCTGCACCTCTACTAAGAATGTCTGCAGCATTTTGCTTGGAAGGGCGTATTTCCATTGACTGATGTTTGTATGTTCCTGTATGTATGCAATCCTGTTTGCTACAAATGGTTTAAAACATCTACTCTGTCTTCTAATCCACCAAAGGGCGTTCAGACTGTCAGACCACAATGTTACACATTGTAGAGGCAACTCTAATGCTTTTGCTACTGCAAAATCAGTCTAACCCCAAGAACAGCAGCGAGAAGCTCCAACCGTGGCATACTAACTGCTTTGAGAGGGGCTACGACACTTTGAAGCTACCAGATGACTAGTCCTTTGACAATCCCCTTGAGTAAGTAACTGAGAAAACTACAGCTCCAAAGCGCTACTTCTGAAGCATCTACAAATGTGTGCAACTTCATTCTCGAAGTATCTAAGTTGATCTTGAGTTCCCTTGGAACTCTAAGCGAGCACAAACTTTCAACCTCGTGGTACCAAGTCCATGCTTTTTGTTCCAGATCTGGACTAATAGTGTCATCCCAGTTTACACCCGATAGCCACATCTCTTGCAAGATAACTCTAGCTCTTATGGTGAATGGACCTAGGAACCCTAGAGGATCAAACAACCTAGCAGTTTCTTTTTCAAGAAGTTCCTCTTAGTCATCTTGATATCCTGCTTAGACGACATGAATGAGAACCTAAACTCATCTGAGTCAGCACTCCATAGTAAGCCCAATGCTTTTACAGATGGCAATTCACTCATTTGAATGTTTATCTCCTTTAGTCTGTCTACTTCTGGTATTTGTTGGAGAACTGGTATGGAATTAGAGACCCACTTACGAGCATGCATTCCTGCACTACTCCACAGCTGTTGCAGCTGTTTGTAGAGCTCTATAGCTTTACTGTCTGTCTCTACAGAATCAATGTTGTCATCCATGTAGGTTGACTTTTCTATTGTAGCTGCAGCTAATGGAAGTTCTTTCTCAAGTGATTTCGCATGTTCCTGAGTGATATACTGAGCTAGAAATGGAGAACAATTTAGTCCAAATACAACCTTTGAGAACTCAAACACATCTGGCTTTTGTTTTGATCCATCGATCTCCAAAGAAACCTTAGATATATGCGGTCCTCCTGAGCAAGTTCAATTTGGAGGTACATTTCAGCAACATCACAAATGATTGCAACAGGGTGTTTCGAAACCAGCAAGATCTCAAACAGATCATTCTGTAGTTTAGGGCCTTGATGAATAACATCATTCAAGGATATGCCTTTATTCCTTGCCGAAGCATCAAATACTATTCTTACCTTTGTTGTAGTTCTGTCAGGTTTAATTACCGGAAAATGAGGCAAGAACCATTTACTTTGACCTATTTCAGTTTCAGGTACTTTTCTGATGTAACCCTTTTGTATGTACTGTTCTATGGCGTCATTGTAGGCTTCTGATATGGTTTGATCTTTTGACAACTTCTTTTCTATATTGACAAGGCGACTGTATGCCATGTCATAATTGTTTTGCAGACTATCACGACCCTCCTTCCATGGAATGCCAACCTGATATCTGTCTTCTTTGTACACAAGAGATTGTTTTACAGCCTTAACTGCAACATCCTCATCAAGACTTCTAACTGTTGTTGAACCGAAATGCTTTCAGATTCCCAAAGCGAATGAATCAAAGAGTCAAGATTTGTATCTGCATCTACCTCCGTATTCTGGATGAAGAATGAACCTGCAACATGTGTTTGCGTGCCTGTCTAAACCTGGTATCTGACCCACACAAGTCCAGCCTAAAGGTGTCAACCTAGCTACTGGCTCTCTTGGAAGCCCACAGATTTCTTTGAAAGAAGAATGCAGCTCTAAATAATCCATACCTATTAGGATGTCAACTATGGGCGAGAACTTACCTGTGGGAATTGAATATTCCTCAAATGTGGCCATTGCTTTGCATGTTTCGCCAATCAATAACTTTCATTCTACCTGTTACTTTGGTAGTTGTCAAAGCTGTAATGGTCATGTCTACTGAACCATCCATACTCTCTAGGCCAACATCAATTAGCATACTGTCAAAGCGTCTCCTGTTTACTATTCAGGACATTGACCGACACTTGTTGTGTATTACCTTGCACACCAAGTTCATATGCTACATCCTCGTTGATGTAAGTATGCATTACTAGCATCATCGAGCAATGCGTTGGCCGGTCATTCTGTGACTACCATTCTTAAGAGCGACAGGAATTGTCCTAAGAGCAAGATAATGTGCTTCCTGTTTAGAAGTTGACAAGGTGGTTGTTTCTGATCTACTTTCATGAGACTTTGTGGTTGTATCATTAACCTCCGCAACACCACTGCCAGCCCTATCGTTCCTGGCCACTTTGCTGTTGTCATGAAGTAACCTGTTATGATTAGCCTTACAGCCATCAAGCCCACATTTCACAATTCTACTGCATGATTTACCCAGATGACCGATGTCAAGGCAGCGAAAGCATAAACCTAACTGTTTTGCCTTATCCCACCTTTCTGGTAGACCAAGAGATTTGAACTGTGCACAACCCCACGTGTCATGATCTGTTCCATGACAAACATGACATTGCCTTGCCTTAGCTCGGTTATGTGTGCTTGCGAATGTTCCTTTCTTGTTGCTATCTCTCCTATCTGTTGTCTTTGATTTGTTAACTATTCCATGTTTTACCTCTGAAGCTATTGTCTGGAACTCTGACTCTTGTAGTATCCATTCCCTAAGTGTCTCAACTGACTCTTGTCTTTGGTGCTCAAACATCCATCTGTGAAACTGCGTTATCATATTCTCATTCATTTTCTTAACCAGTAGTGAATACAAACACCCACTCCCCAATTCCTCTATCGTGTCAGATTCCCTCAAACTGACAACAGCTACATCAAGCATATCAGCAAAATTGTCCAAATCTTTAGCACTCCCTGGTCGTATTGGCCTGAAATTATATATTTCTTCCAGTTTCAGTGCTATCTGGCGTCGCTTGCCGCCATACTTTCTATCCAACCTTTCTAAGGCCACATCATAGACTGAGGCACTGTGACCTAACTTAGCTACAAGTTGTGCTGCTTCACCAGAAAGATATTGTTTAAGCTGCAGAAGCTTATACTCATTAGTGGCTGGAGCTTTATCAACACATGCCATGAAAGCAGCTTTCCAGCAGCCAGTATTCTCTAGTGTCACCATGAAATACTGGGATGGATACTCAGCTTCAATTGTTTCCACATGTCTTCACCTAAATTGTGCTGCCTAGATGACTTACCTGAAGAGGAATAATACCCTTCGATTGTTAAGTGGAAGCTTTCTAACCACATTTGACTTTTGTGAAACACAGCCTATGTTGGGTGAATTAGGTGTGTCACCTTGACTAGCGCCTGAACCATGTTGTGAACCTTTACAGTTCTCATGCGAGATGACTTGCGTCAGAATGAAATAACCTTGATATTCCAGACTTAATGCTCGATGCCTTTGAACTAGCAGGTGCATTGGTTCTAAGAAACCCTTCAGCATTATCAAGGGCCAGTTGAATCTCATCTTCAACAATTTCAATTTCCTTACTGGTTTTCTGAACTTTGTCAGAGTCACCAATCAAGCTGTAAGCCTCTAATAACTCAACTATGATACCTATAGCCTTGCTCTGCAAGGAACTAACCTGGTCTATGGCATTCCTGATTGTTTTACGATCTGGAGTCTCAATTTCAACTAAATTCAACAATTTGTTCTTTGCTTTAGTTAAAGCCGACTTTGATACAGTCTTCTGATGTTTAAGTTTAGCTATTCTCAGTTCTATCTCGCCAGGAGCGACCTCTAACATAGCCCCAGCAGTTGGCTTGGACTCTGACATAGTGAATAGTTATTTCACAGTAACTATTCTATGTCTTAAACTATCTAACTGAACTAAATGCTAATGCAAGTATAACTGAATATTCTAACCAGAGAGAAACCACGCTCTTCTACCAAATGTTGCGCAGTGGAAAATAAAAGCGATTGGGCAGAGCTATGCAAATTAACTGAATTCCTAATCAACTAAAATTTCGAACTTACCTTTTGGCCTAAAACAAGGAACTAAGCGTGATAACTATTATAAGTGAGAAAACTATGAAATTTACAAAGAACTAAGCGTGATTCTCTTAAGTGATTCTAAATGAACTTTGAGATGAAACGAACTGCTAAATATCACTAATTGTCTAACCCTTAAACACACTAATGCAAGTTCAACAACCTAACACCACAATAGCCAATTGAACCTACACATCTAACATCTAACATCTAAGTCATTCCTAGTCTAAATAAATGCCAACACACGACATGTAACGAACATCACCCAATGGCAGAAAGGAGCGAATGCGCCGTGTATCGCTGATCACCGTCTTATATATACAAAACCTACTCGTTTTTCCCGTGCATTTCACCGGGTGTGTTCGGGTGATACGCCTAGTATGCACTGAGTGCGTTTGAGAGAGCAGTTTCAGTGATAAAACCAAAATGCCTTCAGACCAACGATTGTGCGCCAATAATCATACCATGCGAAATATTCATGGTGAAGTCATGACAAATACTCAAGTAGGAACAACATGTAATTTGTTTATTCTCTCAGATAACAACATCAAAGCAATTATTCCCGGTCCATGTTTACAAATTACGTGATCAAACAATGTCAAGAACTCCAGATGTTCGCCTACCGGTTATTCCTTAACACAATGTAGCTTTGATCATTGCATGACTATCGGTTGAGAAAACGTTGTGATGGATACCATCACTCAGGTGTTTGAAATGCACGAAAAAACAACTGCGCTAACAGGCCTTTTGTGAACTTTACGCGAAAATTGCACCCCGTGAAAATATATACGATTACAGTATCTATTAAGAACCCAACGAGGTACCCGTGTATGTAATGTTGACATATTTTAGTTAAACTTCAACAAATATACAACGTTTGGCATTTATTACAAATGTGTCCTTTTTTGGTTATTTTCAGTACTTCAATAGTGTCTATCTGACCGTGGTTGCTGTTAATAACAGTGACTTGGTCCACATGATTTCACTGAATATATTGTAAACAAAATTCAATGAAATTTTTAATAATTTTTTTTTTAAATGATTAAAAACATAAATCGTGAAGTGAGTGATTGCAGCTATATGGCGGTGGCCTGTAAATGATCGAGTCTGGACCAGACAATCCAGTGACCAACAGCATGAGCATCGATCTGCGCAAATGGGAACCGATGACATGTGTCAACCAAGCCAGTGAGCCTGACCACCCGATCCCGTTAGTCGTCTCTTACAACAAGCATGGATTACTGAACGCTTTCTAACCCGGACCTTCATGGGTAAAAAATCAAGAAGTACAGTTCACATCCAGACAGTGTAATTATATAGATCAATTGCATATTCCAATTCGGATCAGTTGACATGTGACATCGTCCATTGAAAAGTGCACACATCAGTGATTACTGATAACTCATTTTAAAGAGACAAAAATCAGAATATTTGTGATATGTTTGAATGTGCTGTGGTTACTTAATGCACAAAATATGAAAACTGAAACAACGCACTCTATTTTTATGTTATTTTAAAAAACATGTTAGTGTCAGAATCTTTTACATTTGACAGACATTAGCAACATTTAGGTCCGTCATAAATGTGACATTAGCAACAATACCAGTACATCAAATCTTGGCTTTAAAATTATTAGCTGGAATTCTAAGAAATTATCACAGTGTGGTTGATATTTTGCTAATGTAATCTAATGCACATTTATTAATTAATTTTTATTATTTCTTTATAATTATTACATGATTATTGTTTCTAATGTAACATGTATGACGGACCTAAAAGTTGCTAATGTCATTTATTGACTGACATGTGACATTAGCACTCACAATAAATAAATTTATAATAACAATTAAAAATGAAAATAAACAAAGTGACAAAATTTTATTTTCATTTTATTTGTAAACTTCAAGTTGGGCAAACAGTGTGCACTTTTCAATGGAAGATGTCATGTTACTGACTACATATCTATATACATGGAAAGGTTCTCTGACTGCATTGCATGTAATTTCTGACTCTGTAGGGAGGCATAAGTAATGAGATCAAACACGGGTGGTGGACAGGCCCCTCCCACAACTTACCAAACAACATTGTTGTCAGGGCACTGGTGCTTTGACACAGGACCCACTCAAATCTAACTTCCCCTATTCAGATAAATTCCAAAATGATGCTAGAATATGATGGAATGGTGGACCCAAAACCTGTATGCCCTTGCTACAAACCCTGTAACTTGGTCGCTGGAAATAACTGAAATCTGGCAAAAAGTCAATTTAAATTCAAGGTGAGATACAACACACTTCTCACCTGCTCGAAGGAGAATAACCTGGTCCTCAAGGGGTAATTCTGTGAAGTGAGGTATGCGCTTAGCCCACTCCACCAACGTAAACAGCTGTTTGTCTGCTGCTTGGCAAATATTAGTCACTGGATCCTTCTGTAAAAATACATGAAAAATGTTTTCAGTTATGAAAAAAAACATCATGGCATAAAAGTCAGAGAGTTATACCCCTTGCACTGTAGATCAACACAGACTGAAGCAATTAGCCTGGGGTCAATAACTAGTCTTAATTACTAGCGAGGGCTTTGTGGTGCACGAAAAGTGGAATAAGGAATTTGTGAAAATGGTTTAAAATATCCTCATGACTCTACCGAAAGAGTAACAGTCAAGTTGATGACAATAATCTTCCACAGGATGGCATGAAGAAGTCAACTGACAACACTCAAGACCTTTTGCCAAAAATATCAACTTTGGCCTGTATTTTTAAAAAATCCTCTGCAACTCATAATAAAATGTATAACATACTATTCTACATTCTTGATGCAAGATTGTCAAATTCAATCTTTGTTTGATGTTTAATGTCACACTGAACAATACTCCAGCTGTATGCCATCTGTAAATAATCAAGCCTGCGCCCCGACAATACAATGAATGACATGAGCATCAAATTATACAAGTGGATTACAATGTCAGCAAGCCTAACCTTAGACCTAGAGTGGATTACAATGTCAGCAAGCCTAACCTTAGACCTAGTATATCAGACTACATGGCAGTTCCTCTAACACGAATAATACACGTCAGTATTTAAGTACATGTGGTATAAGTACCTGTGTGTCAATGTAAGTGTCAATCTTAGGTTCTACAGCCAGTTCAGCCTCCAGAATCTGCTCTGTCGGCATATCGTTGTTGGCTCCACTTGTACTCTCTACCTCTTCCCCCTTCTCTTTCACACGCTGTCTCTCCTCCTGGACAGCTGCCAACAAAGCTAACCAAGTCAGTGGACGTGGGGAATCACCCCGACAAAGACAGTTCCATAAAACTCAAATATCTGCCAGCCAGTCTCCCTCATTAGCTCATTTTAGATGGCAAATAACAATGACCTCACCTGAGGTCAAGCTTATGTCATTAATCCATATAGAGACTTTACATTGACATGAAGAAACCCATATATCTGTTAGTATTGTATTATGTTTGAAGAACAACATACTTTCGATTTCCAAGGTGTAGATACTCAATTGTACTGCACAATGTGTGGATATCAGTAAGTGATGTACACACTTATGGCAGTCTACTGTTCAATGTTCATGTTGCACCTATCTGGAAAACTGGACTGGCATTACATGAACTAAACATATATTCTTGCATCTCCTTAAAATGAAATGGCCTAGTTGGATTTGCTTTGTGTCCACACTGAACTGGTGGATACATTCCCAAACAATAAGAATTACAAGTTCAGTAGCACACCCTGGGGAAAATAGGAATTCTATGCATTGAGAGAGAACAACTTTAAGAAAACATCCAATATTTATGGAGTTTTCAGGTTTAAAAACAAAACAAAACAAAATACTAAAATGACCATAACAATCTGGTTTGTCAATTCATCAACCATTTGAAGTAACATGTTAGACAAAAATAATCAATTTCAATTTGCTCTCTGACAGCCCCTGCTTAATGTCCACAGCTATGTGGCACCACAGCTAGTGAGTGCATACCTTCTCTCTTCATTCCCATGGAGAGACACTTCATGTATCGGCAATACTGGCAGCGGTTGCGCTGACGCTTGTCAATCATACAGTTCTTGTCATCTCGGCATGCATAAGTCAGCTCTTTTCTGACTGTTCTCTTGAAAAAGCCTTTGCAACCCTCGCAGCTAAAATGTACACCAGCATACAAGATCCATAAAATATCAGGATTAAGACTGGCACATAACATGCATAAGTGTAACTCAGTAACATCATGCTCATACATCTTTCGTCAGCTGGAACTATGTAATTTTCATGCTGCCTAAAATCCCACTCAGTACATTCCATCTACAAATAATAAACATGTTTAGGCCAGACGAATTTTATTTTTTGTTTTACAGATCCGCCTGTCGGATTTTTCCGAGAATAAGAAAATAAATAAAAATTAATTTTCCCCGCTCAAAAAATAAAATCCTGATATTTTTTATTGGCCCAAAATGTAAACTTACAAGAAAAATGTTTTTAGATTGTTTTTTGCCTCATGTACACTTCATGAATTGCCAAAAGTAAAATACTATGAGTATTTAGAAGGAATATTACTTTGACTGGTGATTGTATTTCTATTTTTTTTCCCTCCTGCCTTTAGGTTTTCTGAAGACAAAAATCTGTAAAGCAAGAAATGAAATTGGTCTGGCCTTAATAATGAAAACAAATCTTTCTGCAGCAGACAAACCATGATGACACAAAAGCGATAAACTCTCAGATTTGTGGACATCCAGTCCATTAACTTGGAATATCAATCAACTAAGGTTGACCTGACCCAGAATTTAAGAAACTCAATACAATGTAGTAATATTCGTCATAATTGTTTCATAACAGATTAACGTCACTTTCTTTCTCACCCTTTCCTGAAACATATCCCCAATGCATTATTCTGACAAACATTAAAGCATCTGTTGTAACATACCATCTCCAGCTAGTTTTTATATATTTGATATCAAAAGAGACTTCTGAGGATAACCATTTGTTGGCTGGATCACAACAATTAGGACAATGCTTGGCCCGTAAATGAATCGTACAGACCAAATGATAACAATCACAATTTCTTACAGTAACACTTACCTGTATACACCATAGTGTTTACCAGATGCTCTATCACCACAGATGGCACAGATATGTTTATTAGTTAGAGAGGAATGAGCCATCCCCATGCCTGGAGGTGATGGAGACGGACCTCCACCTAGTGACAGCATTGGGGGAGATCCTAGAGGAGATCCCATGGACGATGTAGGGGAGTGGAGAGGTGGTGAGTGCATTGGTCCTGGATGGCCAGGTGATGGCTGTGTTGATGATGGCATGGATGGGATGCCATGGCTGAAGCCATAGAAACCACCATGTGTACTGGTGGGTGAAGTAAGGGCAGAAATGTCAGGCTTGATGTCAGGAGGATGACCCATTCCACCCATCTGCGCCATGGACATACCGCCCTGCATACTGCCATTCACATTACTGTCCAGCGTATCTGTTAACAAAATAAGAAAATATCTGTTACATTTAAACTGGTGCAAAAGCTGAAGAACATGAACTAAACATGTTTTTAACAAACTTAAGCCCCACCTGGGAGTGGTGTGCATTAGGGCTGCATCGAATACACTACTTGGCGAATATGATACATATCACGAATATTGGGTAACAAATACACTATGTTGCGAATATGATACATATCACAAATATTGGGTAACGAATACACTATGTGGCGAATATGATACGTATCACGAATATTGGGTTACGAATACACTATTTGGCGAATATGATACATATCACGAATATTGGGTAACGAATACACTATGTGGCGAATATGATACATATCACGAATATTGGGTAACGAATACACTATGTGGCGAATATGATACATATCACGAATGCACTATTTGTCGAACATGATACATATCACGAATATTGGGTAACGAATACACTTTTTGTCAATATGATACGTATCACGAATATTGGGTAACGAATACACTATTTGGCGAATGTGATACATATCACGAATATTGGGTAACGAATACACTACTTGGCGAATATGATACATATCACGAATATTGGGTAACGAATACACTATTTGGCGATCATGATACATATCACGAATATTGGGTAACGAATACGAATAATTATTCATGAATACAATACTGTAGTTAAGTGATTGATGCACAAAGTGGAACGCCCATGTTGATAGTGTTAATGTGTCACAGCAATAACCAGTGATCTCATGACACTCAAATTTGGTATGTAATAGTTTTATTTGACAGTACCATGTGCGACCTTGGCAAACTAACGTAACAAGGATAGTACATATTCCATTCTTGCATATCTCACTTTGAAAAAGGACATAATGGTTCAAGTAAAACACACTCTCTTAAAATATTTGTAAATATTCGGTTCTGGTGACCACGAATAACGAATTGAATTCATGAAGGGCTACACAGGGGTGGAAATAACATTAAAATCGATATCGTACTCTGGTACAGTGGCACATGCAAAGTCACTTGCCCGGATAATTTTTCCACTATACCGACTGTTTTCTTCTTGATTTTGTAAATTAACAACATAATTAATATTGGAAAGTCAACTGGACACGGTACAGTGTGATATACAAATTCGTTGGCCAGACAGAAAAAAAACCCACTCGACTCGGACGTCGGGCAATGGGTTATTTCCACCCCTGCCACAGTTCGATACATGCCTTAGTGTGCATGCATGAGTTTCAGACAACACAAACTTTCCTTTTCATGAGTGGGCTCTTTCAGAACAAGGTGAAACACCCACAGTTATTAATATTTCATAATGTGTCCGTTTTCCTATTGCATAAAAAAGCCTGTAGCTGCATCTGGTGTTCGAGAGGGGGTGGGGAATGGGGTATATTCAGTTTTATATACCCGGTATATCATAGTGATGTGATTTTCCATATCAAGTAGATAACACACCAATGTCTGATGTGTAATCAACTTCTCAGTAACATCATCACAGATGTTGCCATACCATGACTATTGTTATACTTTTTAAGATCAATCAAATGCCTATTGCATCACCATGATCAACCCAATCTAAAATGGAAGAATAGATATGGATGTTAAATTGTTATATTGAAAACATATATGCTAAATGAATAAAAATAACAAATATATTCTTTTTTATTATTATCCCATTTTTGAAAGCACATACATTATTAAAAATACATGGTTGAATAAATCAGTTATGTGTTTCAAATGCATTAGATCTATTTATTATTAATTAAATAATGTGGTTATAGCCATTTTCTTGTTACAATTACTGGGCGTTATTTCCAGCATAAAACAGGAGTGAGTGAGTGAGTTTGGTTTTACGCCGCTTTTAGCAATATTCCAGCAATATCACGACGGGGGACACCAGAAATGGGCTTCACACATTGTGCCCATGAGGGGAATCGAACCCGGGTCTTCGGCGGAAGGCGTGACGAGCCAACGCTTTAACCATGAGGCTACCCCACCGGCCCGCCTAAAACAGGAGAAAATGGGACCAAGCGATTTTCATGTATCGAAGCTGCTTGAACCCCTGTGCATCGAAACATATTAAGTACTTGGTCAAGACAAGTGAAAAGTTTGATGAACTTTGAAAGTATTGTCTCAGCATAAGTTTAAATAATTTCACCCGCAATTTGACAGACGATGCCAGTAGCCATTGCAGCAACTACGTTTTCAAAATATAGTTCACTTTGAAAAAAGTTCTCCAACTGCACAATCAATACATGCAGTTGCCCATTCATATTTAAGCACAGAAATGTTGGCTTGAAACAGCAAGGGTGGAAACTAGAGCTGCAACGAATCCACTATACTCGTATGGTGAATATGATACACGTCACAAATACTGGGCAACGAATATGAATATTAAGTACCAGGTAACAGGTCCAAACACAAGTCAGGAGTTGATTCATTCTTCATTATATTGAGTGGAACAATAACAAAATAAAATTCTTTGACATATTTTGACAATGTTGACAGGATTAATTTATCATGACGATGATACCATTACACTCAAAATTTATATACAAGTATTGACTATTATCCTGACTGCCTTGGATGCATTTTGCATATCTTGCTTTTACATGTAACATCCAAATTCTAGTAAAAACAAGAATATTCAGTGATCAGGAATAACAAAATTGAATTCATGAAGGAATATGGTTTCAGAGCTCCAGATAAGATTTAGCTCATGTGGGTACTGTACCCACTGTATTTTTTTGGAGTGGGTATTATGAATGTTGAGTGGGTATTCTTTTTCTGTTTCCCACTGCTTTCAAATATGTGCTTATTTCAGTCATTTTACTCACCTAAGTATATGCCATTGAGTAAGTTAACTAAGCAGGTATGTTCTGCCTTATGTCATACCTACCGTATATTACCATCTATAAGCCGAATTTTGAGGAACAAAAAAAGCAGTCTGTAGAAGGGGGTCGTCTTATCCATGGGTTACGTTTTCGTCAAACTTTTTTCCAGGGGTAAGAAAACAACATCGTATCACTTTGCGTGAACAAACAACAGAAGACGACTTTGTCAGTAGAGACATCAAATTTGCAATTTAACTACACTAGACAAGATTCTAAGTTGTTTTTGTTAGGCATTGTATTATTTGCAGGGATTAAGATTACCGTGTGTATCGGAGCCGGAAATAGCAATAAGCTGTGCACGTTTCCCGGCGATCAAGTTCAAACATGCACAATAATATAACGTGACGAATTCTGACGCAGTCGTCAGTATAATATAATACAGAGTACTATTATTTAACCCAAAGAAATATAACCTAGCATTGTGTAATTTTAGTTACAGTTTTTATGTAAAATATATACGTGTATAATCAACACTAAGGTTATACGGACCCTCATGAACGTGGTAAGCAGAAGTTGTACGCAGATGGAATGGGGTAAAATACGGAAGCCATTTAAATTCACTCATTTTTACCGATGTTACTGTAAACTAGCAGTCAATGAAAAACGAGGTGGTAATCAAAACCAACTTAAATATAATGGAAATGATTTCATAAAAAAATCACTCATCCTATACTGACAGTACTACACTTGTCCTATACTAACAGTACAACTTAATAGCAGAGCTACAGATAACTTTTTGGGTCATTGAGTTATGTACCCGCTTGTCTTCATCTCAATTGGGTATCCTAATTTTCCTCTGAGTAACCAAACAAATTGTACTCACCTCACTCAAAATCAATTGGGTATTTTGCCTTTTTCCATTAATTGTTAAAATATAATAAAGTTTAAATGTTAATGTTTGTTATTTATATTTGATCTGTAATATGAGAAACGATATGAAAGACTGCTAGTTGAGTGTTCATGTGCCGAAATAGAACCTCTCAATATACCTCAGTTGCTTTATCTATCCACTGGTACGCAAGCTAAGATTTGACAGTTTTCTGTGTACGCATGTACAATCAAATTTATTGAGTCTTTACAAAAATACAAGCGTACTTGTACGCAACAGACGTAATAGGAATTGAGTTTTCACATAAATATTTGCGTAATTTACGCAGATACGCAGCTTATCTGTACCTCTGTAATAGCAATCGATGTCTTTTTCATTACGCTAGCGATTTTTATAAATATATTCTGTACGCATTTGTTTTAAACTTTCTGCGTATCTATCATATTAAAAGCGTAATTGGTACACAATTATTTTTCAATGCGTAATTCTATGCGTTTTTTACCCGAATACGCAGCTTATCTGGGCCTCTGTGGTTTGATTCACCAAAGCACATAACATCTGGGCCCCTAGTGGAAACTAGACTTTGGTTTTGGCCAGGTTACACTCTTGCTTAAGAGATGATTGGTCCAACATGTTCTGTAAATATCTCATTCACTGATTCATAGCAAGGCAGCAAGTGGTAAGGAAGAGCTGAATAACAGTATAAAAGCTATGCCAGGGTGAATGTGTTGACCATTCCTCAATTTCCTGTGGAAATGGTCCCTTGGATTATAATTTAAATCTGAGTGAGACAAAACAATGAAGTCAACCACTTGGCAGCTGGCAAACAGTCCTTGTAATTTTAAGTATCTCATCAAAAAATTGCTTTTGGATTAACAGAAATTGTGAGTTATTACACAAGTAAAGCCAATCAATACGTGGGCCTTTAATCATGAGCAAGAGCATTCAGCATGCATTTAGTTTTAGCCTGTTGGCTGGCTGTCGTAACTACATGAATAAAAGCAGCATCTTCTTTTCATCCCAAGCCTGTGTTTGATTTCTGATTCACCACATTCTAATTTAACATGTGTAAAGCAGTAAATTAAGACTGTAATGAAGTGTTCTGCAAAGATATCGGACACTATGTAGCCCTTACACAATGTTAGCAGCGAATTTGCTTGACAAATCATATGTTTTACTAAAGTTTGATAACTCCTCCATCAACATCTGACAATATCTCCATCAGGAGTAACATCAATGATTGAACAATTGAGGCAATGTTTTTATTGTT